CCAGCTACATGACGGCAGTCTGTCAATAATCGTGTCTGGACCAGACAATCTAGTGATGGACACCATGAGCATCGATCTACGCAAATGAGATACGATAACATGCATCAGCCACGTCAGCGAGTCTGACCGCCCGATTCCGTTAGTACTACACTAATGTACGGAGAGCGAGCTATTGATATTCTACTCAACGGTTGTAAGCTGTAGCCTTCGTTGATTAAAACCATAGCTGCGTTGTTACATCCCTGCATAGAACACGTATCTCATGAAGTCTCACGGCCCTATGTCCAGTCTGACAAGGATATAATGTATCTGATGATATGTGACAAGGAAAAGTGACAGCAGAATATTTAAAGATAAACACATTGCATGTTGAAAGGAAGTATGTGTCGTTCTATGATCACGTTGTTTGATTCGGAAATGTAGATGGGTCGATAAAAAATCATCTGTGTAAAGACAGTGTTTTTGTGAAGTCGACCTCTTATTAATTCAAAAGGTGATAACACACGGAGCTTCATAACAACGAGTGTATGCACATCTCTCAATAGGTGTGTAGTGAACGTAATCTTTAACACAGTTGACTGGGTATTTCACTTCCTCTTGCTCAACATGGCGGGTGTCAGGATACTCGTTGTGGTGGTGCTTGTGGGATGGATACAACTGACATGGGGTGAGTAGATCTGATTGGTATATTACAATGTATAAATGTATTCGTCGAGTATGTGTGCTTCACTGAAAGTTACCGATTGTCAAGTTGACTTTACTGAGGCCCATTAGTTAGCAAAACCAGTGGTACGGCGCTACCGTATACACGTCTAATAAAACAAATCAACCATTAGAATATGCACGAAAATAGTGTTGATACTCAATATCAACTCGCGTCACATAATACCCTATCTTAAAGATACCCCATCCTAAAAGTCGGGCCAAGGAAATGAGCTTGAATGAAAATATATATCCAACACTATAACAAAGAAATAACTATCACAACATAGCGAGAGTCCTCGAAGATGAACCAGCTCCATGATTGTTTTCCTTGACATGTGTATGTGAGAAGGTTTCTCACTGACCATAGCATATTATTAGTTATGGTGTCTGTAGTTGCCGTATACGGTGTCATATAAGGTTATCAGAAAAGTATATATCGATTTTTTTACACCCTCTGGTACCCATATCGCACGTGTCATATCAAAATGAAAACTTGAGTCTTACAACCGTACGTTGACGTTTAGAGTCAAAGGGAGACTACTCTTCAGACCTAAGAGGCCAAACCTGGTTGACAATTTTAACTATAATCTTTATCAATAGAGTCTCGAACGTGATCTAAAAAACAGATTGATGTCCTTGCACATCACAATTAATGATAGTAAAACACAAAACCGTGACAAAAAACGAATTTCGGTACCAGAATTTTCATGTGAAATATGTGAGATGGGTGTTTGAAAATCCAAAATGGCTGTAACTGACGGTATACGGTCTCATATGATGTCAGAAACAACCATCTTGAATTTTTACAGACGGTATACGGGCTCATGTGGGGTCAGTAGTTCTGCTCTCTGATTGGTCAATCACACTTTGAGGCATAATAAGAGGTATGATGTTCTGAGCAGGTAGTGATCACAGTGTTTTGACAACGTTCTTCCATTAATTAACGTTTTGGGCCTCCTTTATTTACCTTACTCATTCATGGTTAGCCAAACCAGGTTGTTTTTTTCTGGAAGTAGATATTCGCAAATTTCAAAGGGACTGGCGCAACATAGGAACAATTTGCAGGGGGAACATTTGGGAGTGTGTTAGTGTGTTAGTGTTATTGTTATTGTTATTGTTAGTGTGTGTGTGTGTGTGTGTGTGTGTGAGAGAGAGAGAGAGAGAGAGAGAGAGAGAGAGAGAGAGAGAGAGAGAGAGAGAGAGAGAGAGAGAGGTGTACTTCATAGCCGGCAGGAGCCGCTAATTTTGGGTTCAAATTAAATCAGATAAGAAATCCTTAGTTGTTTGGCGCCATGTTAATGCTATTACCACACGCCAAACCAAGGCTACAAATACGTGTGGGTGTATATTTATCATTTTTCAGTTTTGCTTTAGAAATGCCTTTGCTTTGTACAAACATGATGATCACTCACTCTCACCCACTCAACACATCACCTCATGACATTGTATGCATAGGGCGAATGTTAATCAAGAAAAAGATGTCGTATAGAGAGATGCTATGGTTATTTGTTTAAAGGTCGGTCGTTAACAATTCAATCAAAGGCACCCACCTGTCTTTTCTAATCACATTTATCAGCGTCAAGTGCGTTTGTTGCCACTGAATCTTTGAAAATAATTGTTTGACAGTATTGTGTTCTTTCAGGTCACTTTGAGGGATGCCACATGTATATTCAGATCAACAAAATGTATAATGTTTGATTTGTTTTCTATTTATTTAGGAGTATATCTTTTTCGAAATTTTATTCACACATATCGTTCAGGTATCAAAATGATCAATTGCATTTTTTCAGTCTTGGGTTGGCGGATCCGTCCCTTTAAACATTGAAGAAGGTGCATCCTAAGGATAAGAAAGCTAAACCAAACAGGCAAACATACACCCCTCATGAAGGGTGACTAAACATTGTTAGATAACAATGGTATTCCAGAAGAGACACTGTATTTTGTATGTAGTGTGACCCGAACATAAGTTTTACATCAGGATTCAGTGTAATAGCGTTGTATTTTCCTGGATAAAGGCTGATTTATAAATGTAATTTTCACTACTATTTTACCGTTTACGCCCAATGGAATCTGTTATGGTGGACAATCGAGATTGATATAGCCTCTGGCGTTGGCGTTTCACATACAGCTTGTTACCACTGCAGTAAGTATCAGTTGCAAGAAGCAAAGGTCGCTTAATATTGTCAGTGACAAAAATTCTAGCTGGACGTTCTGCACGGGACCCCCCACCAACACCAGTAGGGGGTGCATTTTCCCGAGTATGCAAATTCTAAATATCTTAAAAGCTGGAGCTAACTTCTCTGTTTGCTTGGATTCATAACCTGCGTTTGCACTGTTAAACCTGTCAAATAGGATACTGAAGTAGATTCACTAGCGAGCACGCTGACACTTCTTTCAACAATGTATATGGTAATGTGTATCTGTCATGAATCATTCAGACATTATTGCACATATCATTTGACAGCTGAAAAATAACACACAAAACCACTCAGTCTTTTTACAGCTATCTCAAACATTGGAAAATATTGAAAAAGTTTTTGAATCTGTAAGGAAGTATCATGCGTTATTTAAGGGCTTGTTTCGTGGTCACAGGAAACATTTCAAGTACAGTAAATAGACATATAGAAACCCATTCATGCCGTAAAAGGCGACTATGCTTGTCGATAGAGGCTAGAAGTTGATGCATGTCATCGCATCCCAATGGCGTGTATCGATGCTCATGATATCACTGGATTGTCTGGTTCAGACTCAGTCTGGTTTATTTACAGGCCGCCGTGAAATAGCTGGAATATAGCTGATTGCGGCGTTAAACAACAAACAAACAAGACATATATTATCCACAGTACATACAGTAAAATATCGCGAGTTGGAGATTTCACCTAGTGGGAGAAGAAAGAAATGAAGTTCGATTACAATATTGCAACGGGAGAGAACATGTTGAAAACATTGCTGTTTGTTGTTAACGTCGCAGTCAGAAATATTCCATCTATACGACAGCTCTCTGAAAACAACCGAATTCTGACCAGACAATCTAGTGATTGACATCATGAGCATCGATCCACGCAATTGGCGCGAAAAGAGCGAATGCTCTACACACACCCAAGCATGCAGCACTTGTTTGGTAAAACATGCTGGCTCTGCCAAATGTAGGACCCGTGAAGATCCGGCGTAGAATAGGTCTTCAGCAACCCATGCTTGCCGTACAAGGTGACTATGCTTGTGGTAAGAGGAGACTAACAGGGTGGTCAGGCTCACTGACTTGGTTGATGCATGGTATCGTATCCCAATTGCGTGGCGTCAATCATGTGATTGTCTGGTCCAGACTCGATTATTTACAGACCGCCGTCATATAGCTGGAATATTGCTGAATGCGGCGTTAAACAACAAACCAATCAACTGCTTGACGGAGATACTAATTTTATAGGATTTTGTGTATTCAAGCATCTTTGTATGTCGACAACACAACCTACATTAATGTAGCCCAATGTTCAGTTAATGTAGCATATCTTTTCACCTGTTTGAAAGGCGCAACATATCCTCACCATTTTGCGAACACAAGGTGTCATCACTGTTTGTTTGATATAGTCGGACAACTCTGCTCCCAGCCGATTTTGTTATGATTATAAAAAGAAATTGTAGATTTTATGATTAGTTATTTAAATAGTACAGAGTAGAATATTATGAAATGTACTTGCACACATGATCACTATGTTGTGCCTCGATATTGCCTCTGGGGCGGTCGGGTAGCCTAATGGTTAAAGCGTTCGTTCGTCACGCTGAAGACCCGGGTTCGATTCCCGACATGGGTACAATGTGTGAAGCCCATTTCTGGTGTTCCCCGCCGTGATGTTGGTGGAATACTGCTTAAAGCGGCGTAAAACCATACTCACTCACTATTGCCTCTGATATTCTATCTTTGAAAGTGTCGCTTCAATAAGGCATGTACTGTTGTCACGACAGTGCAGACAACAAGACATTATAGCATAAATAAATAGTGCTGCCCTTGTGCAGGGAGAATTGTGTGAAAGGTTCGCAAAAACGGGGCTACTTACTACTGAAATGTAACGAACAGTAGTAATGAATATTTTAATCTGTAATAATTACGTGGGTGCTATTTTGTATGAAGGTATTATTGCATAGTTATGTCTCTCGTGGTATATAAGACACGTACAATTAAAAGGCAAAATAGATGTAATATTCCCAATAGATATGTGGTATTCCCAACAGATATGTAGTATTCCGCTACGAGATATTCTCGGGGCCTCACTGATACATCGTCAGGGCTGACCGCACGTGACATAGATGGAAGCTACCCTGTTACCTCTGTTGTGAAGCCAACCTCACAGCGGGTCCATGAGTCACATGCATGCGTAGGAGGATCAGGTAGGGAGTGCGAGCTGTTGACACTACCCAACTGTCGCACATTGTACCCCCATTGATCAAAACCGTAGCTGTGTGTCTACCCACGTCCATCCCTGCATAGATCACACGTCTGATGAAGTCTCGCCGCCTAGCCGTCGGACAAGGATGTATATGCATTTGAGGCAATGTACAGGGATTACGAACCTGAAAGCTGAACACTTTGTTTGTTGTAAGTTAGGATGTACATGCATGTGTCCTGTAAACCTTGGAATCGCCCCCTTATGAATTCAAATATAAATACATATTGAGCTATATTACTGCGAGTGTATATACACCACACAGTAGATGTCCAGTGAGCGTAACGTTTAACACAGTTTGACAGGGTATTTCACTTCCTCGTTGTTCAACATGGCGGGTGTCAGGATACTCGCTGTGGTCGTGCTTGTGGGATGGATACAGCTGACATGGGGTGAGTAGATCAGATGGGTTTATTACGATGTATGTATTTCTCAAGTATGTGTTCATCACCCCCTGGGGCGATAAAAGGTAAGCTTTTGTCTATTTGTCTAATTTCGAAAACAGTCTAAGGAAACATGTTTTGGAAGTGATTCATATTGGTGACCCGGTCTACCCTTGAATATGCTGTGTTGATACTATGCCAAGAATCATATAGCACCCCGTGAGGAAGATTGACATTGTTATGTAGTCCCAATAATGTACCTCTTCCCTATGTTGTATTAATCAGCTGAATATGCTTATATGCCATGTGTTACTGTATAAATATGCAGTATATTTTATCTATTCAAATTTAAATTTTTATTAGCAACTAAATGTTTACAATAATGATAATAATAAACATATTGCATTGCTGTTTCCAATATGTGCTACGTTGACCTTCAAAATAATGTAAACAGATCACAACATGTACACGTGCACCGACACGTGAAACATCTATGTCTGGGTCCCCACAGAATGTGTTTCCAGATCTGGTTGAATGGGACAGAATCAAATAACAGTCCTGTTATCTGTACCCTTAGTCCTGTCTTCCATGACCCGAGGTTCAGTCATCCGTATCATTCATACCCAAGTGTCCCATTATCCCTACCCCAAGGCGCTATCATCCCCACCCCACGGTCCTATCATCCCTACCCTAGGGCCCTATCATCCCGACCCCACGGGCTTATCATCCATACCCCACGGGCTTATTGTCCCTACCCCTTGGTCTTGTCGTCAGTACCCCAGGGTCCGATCATCCCTACACAAGGTTCCTATCATCCCTGTCCCAGGGGTTTTTCATCCTTACCAATGGGTCATGTTATCATCACCTTGTGGTCATATCATCTCTTCCCAAGGGTCTTACCATCCCTACCACTGGGTACTTTCATCCCTACCCCAGCGTCATGTCATCCCTACAACAGGGGCCAATTATCTCTACCCTAAGGTCCTATAATCTTAACCCCCGGGTCTTTTCATCCCTACCCCATGGTCCTGTCATCTCTATCCTAGGTTTATATAACCCCTACCTCAGGCGGCCTTCTCCCGGAACTGTCTTTGCGCTAAGACTGGCGTAAAGGTTTTGTGGCGGAAGATATCGTAGCTAAGTCTATTTTCAATACTGTCTTGGCGCTAAGTTCTCTTAAGTTTTCGAAAAAAGAATTAAGACATGGTTGGACCTGTCTTAGGATCTAACGACTGGTACAGTGGCGGCCAAAAGACGGCATGTTGAAGAAAACGATTCGACCGTATGTGTCAACTGCATCATTTCTGACCACAAATTAAATTCAAATGTTTTCTACTTGCACGTTAAAAGCACGAACAGCAGATGGCATATGTCACTGACAGTGCATTCCAGATGATAGCTTAACAATCATTACATACAAAATGTTACTTGAAACAACATACCGTTTTAATTTATTTCGGTTGTGACACTTGCAGCGTATTTGCACGTTATCGCAGTAACCGTCATCTGTTCTTGTCAAGGGAAGTTAATATATATGAGGAATGAGAGTGGTTCCCCCTTGACAACGAGTACAAAGTATGATAAACATACACACACACAAATGTACATGTAGCATTTAATGGAACGTCGCTATATAAGTGGAATAATCTTGGACGCGACGTTAAACCCCATTTCACCTCACCTTTAATGGAATGTGCACCTTGGCTGTTTACAAGAAAATCTATGAACACACAATGTCATTTAGAAAATGGTCAAATGTAACAAATGTTATATTTGGGATAACACCTTCTTAGTAGGAGAAGCTGTACTTTACTAAGAAAGTGTTATCCAGAATATGACATTTGGGACATTTGACCACTTTCTAAATGACATTGTGTGTTTATAGCTTTCGGCTTTGGGAGCCATACCAATTTACACTTGTCAGAGGGGTACACAAAGTATGTGATCTGGACTACCAGTTGTCGGACTTTCATTTTGTGGAAGCCTCGTTGGCAGAATGGGTTAGATCGCCGATATTTTGTGTTTGCGATTAGGTGCCTCACCACCCGACGCAACTCAAGCAACAAAATTACGAAAATCTGTACTTTATTAAGAAAGTGTTATCCCACTTTTATTACATTTGACCACTTTCTAAATGGCATTGTGTGTTCCTATTTTCTATTAAACATGCAACCACGCCACAGAAGTTGGTTATCATCGAATAATAATCATTGCCTGAACGATGAATAGTTTGGTAATATTTCGTGTGCGAATAAAACAAGTTTCGTTGTTTTCATGTAATTTTGTGACATGAACATGTGGTAGAAAGTAAGAGAGTCGATTTAACGTTTCACAACAAAGACATAATGTATGTGAATCAAACTTGCTGCACTTATCTATGCGGGAGTTTCACAGCAGATCTGTTGAATGTGAGCACATATATATGGCCAAGTATGACTGATCTCTTGGGACATGTATCATTAAGTTGCATACAGTATTAACGTGAATCTAAATGGGGATTCGTCCTTAGCATATCTACTACAGGGCAATTCTTAACTGTTAAGTCAGACCTCGCCCACGTTTCAAAGCTCTACAGGCAGTTTGGGGACTGTAGATCCTCCTTTCACTGTTGAATCTCACCTCTCTGTATCTCTCCCTAGGTTCCTGTCTACAGGGGATGTTTGGAGACTCCTGTAGCTACTCCTGTCACAGAAGATCTCACACCTCTATGTCTCTCAATAGGTTCCTGCCCACCAGGCCATTTTGGCGACTTCTGCAGCTACTCCTGTCACAGAAGATCTCTAACCTCTATATCTCTCCCTAGGTTCCTGCCAATCAGGACTGTTTGGAGACTCCTGTAGCTACTCCTGTCACTGTGAGACATCCTGTGACGTGACAACAGGTGCCTGTTCTGGAGAGTGTGATAAAGGATGGACGAAGGGAGGAGGGCTTTGCCAGAAACGTCAGTACCACATACATTTTACGTGTTTTATGTTGATGCGTTAAATATGTTGCTCTATGATATGAGTGCAAAGTGTTCGACATGTAACTCATATATTGCCAACATATATATTTCTATATATAAGAAGGATCAGCTGAAAACATGAATGTGCAATGTTTTTCAATGTTGATTTTCATTACAAATACCACTAGTGCATTCGACCGACACCTTACATGTAAACATGTACATGGATAATCACTTAATCGTCGACACACATCGTGTATTTCACACAGGATATACAAGTAATGCAAGTAGTTTTTAGCAATATGTTAAATGTATATCTTTGTCATGAATGCTTTATATCCACAAAGTTTACTCACCAAGTATGGGTCGTCTTCAGTTTAGTATATACAGCGATCATTATGAAGTTTATGACGTGATATTTGTTCTTCAATGTACGTAGAAAACATTGCACTGAAAAAGACAACATCCACAGCATCCGGAGTTTATGGCAACTGGTACCCATCAAATGCTGTGGACGGAGACAGTGACATAGCTGGTAGTCCTAGAACATGTTTCCACGCTGGTAAATCTCCGTCAGACTGGACAGTGGATCTGGGCCGGGACTACCAGCTGTATGACATCAGGATCTACAGCAGAGATACATGTAGGTATCCATGCATCCTGATATATAGTGGATGATATCATCAGTCTAAGAAAATACTTACTTCTTAATTAACATGTACCAAAGAACGTTAACCTAAACTTCTTGCCTGAATTATCGTCAGCATTTTATCACATTCCATCCAAACTCACTATTTATGTAAATAACAAACATCAGTAACTTAGTTGTAGTATGGACATAATTTACTGATAATAAAACACTCCACGTAAGTGAATAACATCAGATATAAGTCCCTCTCAAGGTTTGATAGTGTCAAGAAAAGACGAACAGACCCTCAGCCAAATGCGTGCATCAAAAGGTAGCAATACCCTGTTTTAGAAAACAAACATGTCTAGCCATATGTCTGCAATTACCTGACTATAACAATTTATGTTTTACACAGGATTTATACTATCGAACGTTTGTGTTTCATAGGCTATATTTAGCTTTATATGCTATATTAGGATTTGTATCACTAAATTACCTTTGGGTGATGAATATATTCTGAGATAACAGTACGGGTCGATGATAGTTGGTTTAACACTGTCTGGGTTCTTGACTTTATGTATTTACCGACTGTCATGGTACAGTAAACTACGTTTATAACGAACACGCTTACAACGAACTGACGGATATAACAAAATATTTCTTGGTCCCGTCCATTTGTTGTATGTATGCTGTACATATGTTTATAACGAACTACGGTTATAACGAATTAAAATAAGTGGTCCCTTTGAGCTCGTTATAACCATAGTTTACTGTAGTTGGAGCTTGTCAACATCTCATGTAAACCTTGTTCCTGCCTTTCAAATTGCTGAAGAACCAAACATGCCATGTTGCGGATATGTAGGCTTCTGGGACTGATGGAAGCCATTTTTATTGAATACAGTGAAATCGTTTCATATGCAGTTATATATTTAGAATGGTACATCTTCAGACATGACAAACGTAGGGAAAAACTCAACTCTTTGATCAATGGAACATTTGTTACAAAACGTGGTGACCATAGTTATATCTCTATCATCAAAGGTTCAGAAGGAACTGTTTCAAATTATAGCAACTGTCATCTGAAGTTGACTGAGAAAACAATTTGTGAAATGCGGGACTTCCTCATTGATAACTTTTAAGGGATATTTAAGTATAAAGCTTGTAGGCAAGAAGCCGCCTCCGTGGTCTTGTGGTAGAGCGTCCGCTCGGAGAGCAGAAGGTCCGGGTTCGATCCCCGGCCGCGTCATACCAAAAGACGTTAAAAGATGGTACTTGTTGTTACCCTGTCTGGCGCTCTACATTAAGGGGCTAAAACAATGACTGGTCGGCTCGGAGTCAGTATACTGTGTCTGAGTGGGGTAGTCATGTTAAACTGCGGCATGGTATCTCAGTGAGCTAGCACTATAAATCGGCATCAGTCCGGACTAGTACAAGCAGCAAAACACACACACGTGCATGCACGTCGCTATATAAGTGCAATAATCTTGGACGCGACGTTAAACCCAATTTCACCTCACCTTGTAGGCAAGAACTAAGCATCCCCTTGGGCACCAATTATGCTCCCCTTCTGGCTGAACTGTTTCTTTATGCATATGAATCAGAATGCCAAAACAAGGGAATTTGGCCAAGAAGTTATACTTAAACTTCCAGTATATCGTTGATCTGATATCGTTCAATAATGGTCAAATTGGAAAACATATTCACCTGTTTCACATTTAGATCTATGCGTAATAATTCAGTGACAAAAAGAAAGCTATCCACATGACAGTATGACAAATGGCTTTATCTTTCCAACAGTCAACTCTCCCTTTATGTCGAGTAATATTCCATCAGCCCCAGCCTTTAGTGTCAACATTACACAATGTTTGAGGTAGGTGGGCAGGATACGCTCAGCTTTTCGCGAGCACCTGGTATCATCAGTATTTGATAGTGATTCATAAACACAAGCTTTTAATATAGTTGGAATCGAACTATCGACTCTGCTTGTAGACCATATTTTATTATAATGAAGATGTTTTGTCGCTTTTATTCAACAAGCGTGTGAACACGTTATTTCTTGATGCAACAAGTGGGAGTTTGCAGCTATTCACCGCAAAAACAAAGTAGATGAAATACAATGAAGGACCAATATGTCTTTAACAAGAACAGTTTTCATCAATGTGCCAACTGTTGAATCTGTTCAAATGTAATATTCTAATACTAACTACCTCGACAGTTCGATTTAGTTAACAAATTAAATTAAAAGGGCCAAAAACCTGCCTAAATCATGCTTCCTGAGCTCGTGTGCTCTGTCAAGTGAGAAATTGGTAGTTGCTACCTACCGGTTTGGCATGGACAGCGCTTACCGCGTGTTTGAGTTACATATGGAAAGACAGTGGCCATTCGGCACAGTTGAGAAAATTCCGTTACTTTTACTTTACTCACTGACGGTAATAGCCGTATTTTTTAAGATGTGAGTGAGTGAGTTGGGTTTAACGCCGCTATTTTCAGTATTCCAGTTATATCGCGGCGTGTCAGCTTAATGTGGGAGGAAAGCCCGAAGAGATGCAGGTCTCAGACGTTTACCACTTTGGTGAAACCCACGAGCACGGGTATGGTGCTGACAAACCTAGAAACATAATCGGGATTCGAACCCTCGATCATAGGTTTCTGGCGTGCCCAAGGGACGCAACTCTGCACAGCGAATTGCGGCGCCTTAGGCGACTGGGCCACCCGTGCCCCCTTTTAAGATGTGACAAGCTGTAATGAGATTTATACTATATACATAACTCACAAACAAAAGACAAAGGAACGAAAATATACGCCGAAAATCTTTAAGTATTACTTTCTACAACTAGCTACTATATGGCCTTGTCCTTGATAACTAATAAAACATCATAGTTGCAGTTGCTGTGAACGTTATTCTAGTTCACTGCTGACATTTTTGAGACGGAAGGTCGTGAAAGTTGATATGGCTTCAAAAATAGTAGCATTGTCGAGGACATGTAACGTACATGTAGAAAAATGTGTAAATCGCCAGAAACACTGAGTCAGACTGTAGTGGTGACAAGGAAGATTGGACCAAAGGCAGATCGACGGCCGCTGTTGACTAACACTTCGTATGTCACTTGAGGTATTTGAAGGTCACTTGCCTTGTTGAATGTTACTCGACAAACATTCCATTTGTATCAGTACGGACCCCTCATCAGATCTCAGGATATCCTGTACACAGTGCTCTGTGTATCGCTGAGATAACTGCCTGCTGAGTGTTCTCTTTTATTGTATTTTTGTGTTTGCCGATGGGGGTGGTTCATTCGACAAGGTACAGCACTATTTGTGGTCGAATACATGAATGGCTTTAATCTCGCCTCCTAACATGACAGTATGTAAGATTGCTATACCATAAATATATATCTCTTATCTTATCTTATCATCTTAGATAATTCTGCATATTTTTAGGGCATTGAGTTATGGTATATTCTTGGTTTTCACTTCTCAAAGCGGTTGTTTTTTGACCGTATTTTATATGTTTAGCAAACACACTGACATTAATTTTACTGATGAATAGGCCTTAAGCAATCCATGTTTGCCGTAAAAGGCGACTATGCTTGTCGTAAGAGGCGACTAACGGGATCGGATGGTCAGGCTCGCTGACTTGGTTGATACATGTCATCGAATCACAATTGCATGGGCCGATGCTCACTGGATTGTCTGGTCCAGACTCGTTTATTACAGACCACCGTCTTATAGCTGGAATATTGACAAACAAACAAAAGATAGCCGAACATGATAAAAACGAATTACTGTATATATATATATATATATATATATATATATATATATATATATATATATATATATATATATATATATAAATCGTGTGAAATACACGCGGGATATCGTGCTTTTCACCAATAATATTATGATGTATTAGCTTTATGTGATGTTGTAATTATTGCTAGCGGCCAGAAGTTTATGTGAATTGTATAAATCCCATACACTTTAAATCATACATTGAGAAATGTGTGTACGTGTGTATCTCTCACTTTATTATGCCAATGTGTAAGGCCATATGTTTATGTGAACATATAGCTGAGATATATCAGCTATTAGCTACATTTTCAAACAATATCATAGTCCAGTGTAGTTTGAGACTCTGCTTTTTGTGTTATTACGTCAGTCTACTGGAGAAACGCGAACTCTGATATCTACCTGAACAATGACACTTCAAACATCTGCTCCACACTACCGAATTCGACTTCTACGCCCAACCCTACTGACGTGACGTGTAACGGTACCGGCAGACAGGTGACTATCATGAAGCAGGGGCCGGGAGGAACCGATGGCTACGCTAGCGCACTGAACATCTGTGAGGTGGAGATATATGGTAAATCTTTGATTGCATTTATGCATTCTTGTGCCACTGATACCCATGTTTCACTGCCCTTTTATAGCAAATGTGCTTTAAATTTGTAAGTTTGGTTTCAGAGTTTAATCGTAGAATATTAGAAGCTGTATGAAACATATCTGAGGCAGTGTGACACTGTTTTAACAAATACAGTTCAGCTTTATTAACCAGTTTAGTGATGTTCAACCTCAAGGCGCTGAGAGCTATCAATATAGCTGATCAAGTCAGCTAGATACAACAAAGCTGTTCTTATTTCCAGGAGTTCAGCTATTGTGATCCTCTGATAATTCTCCTTTCTATTTATGCATACCTTATGCGTTTCTATATCCTTCATATGAATATTTGTTTTATTCAAAGGACCGTATGCACTAATCACCTAAACTAAATCTCACAATTCCTTTGCTCTTCCTGTCGGTGGTGCTATTCCCTGGCAGCGTCACATCGAAAGACGTTAAAGGACGGTTGTTTCCCTGAATGATATTAAGGAGATAAAACAAGGACTGACCGGCTTGGAGTTATTCTAATATGTTATGCGAGGGAGTGGGGGTAGCCTAGTGGTTAAAGCGTTCGCTCGTCACGCCGAAGACCCGGGTTCGATTCCACACATGGGTACAATTTGATAAGCCCATTTCTTGTGTCCCCCGCCGTGATATTGCTGGAATATTGCTAAAAGCGGCGAAACACCAAACTCACTCACTCCCTGAGTGGGGTATGCAAGTTAAACTGTAGTATTGTGTCTCAGTTGGTTAATACTATAAAACCGACATTATAAGTGCAGACTGGTACACGCAGCGTCACATAACAATATTTGCATGTCCATCGCCATGCGAGTAAAAAAATATTGTATTCGTATATTGTATATATTGTTGTACACAAATTCACTTCCACTCCCCGCCCTCTCCCAATCTCTCAATACACTCAAATGCAGTAATCTTGTCTTCCCAATACAACAGCCTGCAGTCCAGGAATCTACGGGGTGAACTGTGATACGTTCTGTCACTGCCTGAATTCAAGCTGTGATCGCTTGACTGGATTCTGTCCTGGAGACTGTAGACCGGGGTGGCAGGGACAGAGATGTGACACAGGTGAGGAGGTCTTACTGTCAGGTGTAGTGTGACCCAGTCAGTGGTGTGTGTTTTGGAGACTGTAGACCAGGGTGGCAGGAACAGAGATGTGACACAGGTGAGGAGGTATTACTGTAAGGTCTGGTGTGACCGAGTGAGCTGTCCTCAACACTGTAGTTAGCGACCCTTTTGTACAGAGCGACATGAGTGCCACTATAGGAAGTCAAGATTGAAGCATGGGAATCACTACATGCGTATGTTGTTGAGGTCTTACTGTCAAGTGGTGTTAGTGATACTATGGCCCTTTTAAGTGGTGCATTTATATTACATATTGACTTGTTTTATACATTTCTTGAACCGACTATCCAGCACCATTTACAGCCCAAATGCTTCACAACACTCATTTATACGCAATGTAAATACTCTAACTGTTGTGATTATTTCATAGCTTGCAACAACACTAACTATGGTACCAGCTGCAACAAAACATGTGCTTGGCGGAAGTGTTTAGCTACCAACTCGTCATGTGACCGTCGCACTGGAGCATGTGACACAGGATGTCTTCCTGGGTGGATAGATGAGGACTGCACACAAAGTAAAGAATGTTTAACATTTATTGGTAAAAAGACACATTAATTACAAAAGTCACTTGGGAGGTCGAGCAAGAAGACAGATCATGATAAGTTATTGATAGGACGACTGGGCTACTGTGGGCCACAAGATTGGAAAACGCCTGTCATACCAAAAGGTTACCATAAAGGGAATCAGTTTACATCTACCCTGCTATTAAATGCCTGTCAGTGATGACCTCTTCCGTTCTTGTTACAGAATGTGCCATTGGAAAATATGGTGCAAATTGCAGTGGACTGTGCTCTGACAGACACTGTTCAGGAAAATCATCCTGTGATCACGTGATAGGAACATGCGATTTTGGGTGTGAAGCTGGCTGGATGGGTGCTGACTGTAAATATGGTGAGTCATGGAAATGAATCGTAACTATAGTGAATAAGAAATCAATGTGGTTAAAAAATAATTTACACTTTCACATATTGAAGTGAATCGTAACTATACGAGTAAGTGAATAAGAAATCAATGTGGATCAAATATAATTTTCACTTACACATATTGAAATTAATAGTAAGTGTAAGAGTAAGTGAATAAGAAATCAATGTGGTTCAAATATAATTTTCACTTTCACTACAATATATGCATTACTCCTTATAGGAAGCATAAGAAGGTTGGTATCTCTGCCATCCAATTCCAGATTGTGATTCCAAACATTATGGACCAAACTGTCTTGGCGCCTGCTCCTCCAGACACTGTTTGCGGAGTTCTTCCTGTAACTCAGCAGGGGCCTGTGACAGTGGATGTGAGACGGGATGGAGACTGGCTGACTGTACAGGTAATGACATTATGTCACACTCATGAGGGTAAAGGAAGGTTGTAATAGCAAGGTCGTAGCCGATGTGAAGGGACATTGGCTGATTACACATATTAATATTATGTCACTGGGTGGGATGACAGTAAAAACGGACATCTTCCCGAGGCAAGTGAGTTAACTGACTATAAAAGTCCAGTTTCTATGTAAAACCTGTTTTATCATAACGTAGATCTTGATTATCGTTCAGATCGTCTTGACTGGGCCCCGCCATTTTGTTTGAAGCAAATGCAAGTGATACTAGAGGTGGAATCTGATTGGTCCATAGGAGATGCAAGGAAGGGACATAGCTCGTAATAGCCACAGGTGGCGCTACGATCGAGCCAAGAAATTCCAGCCTAGTTCGGCAAGGGTGGAAAATGGACTTTTAAAGTCAGTTAAAGTCTTGCCTCGGGAAGATGAAGAAAGGAGGGTGAGAGATGTTATGTATAAGGGTGGAAAAAAATCGTAACGATGACAGCATAACTTGGGTAATCAGTAAAGACATTATGCCATATGCACGTAACAGAGGTATCTCTAAGGAAGCAGTTGGTATTTCACAGGGGTGAACCATACGTCAATTTAACATTATGTTTTAAAACATCTAATAGTGAAAATGATATGTATATGTTTGGAGTATTAAGATTATGTTTGTGCTGCGTGCTTTCACTTTATGATTATTAGGAACATGATGGCACTTACTTTTGTGTCTGTTTTTCATTATTAACAAAGGGGTCCAAATGTCAGGTCCTTACCCTCAGTGCATACGATTCCCTTCCATCCAGCTTGACAGACACCTGTGACACAGATCCCTGTCACGTGATCACACCAGGAAGTGTTGAGGGCACAATGTCTGTCTGCACACGCTCTGCGGCAGTTGGTTCCGTAATGGAGACTGTCGCATTCTAACGAGGAAATACAGATGGAATATTAATTTGAAAGCAATTCCTGCTTATATGTATTTTCACTAAGCAGTAAGGTATGGGCTGATAATTAAGTATTCCACAGTCCATTTCAGTAAGACTGATTACAATAACATACAAGGCTAACGTAACTTAAAAAATAATATTATTATATTCGGGGTCACTGGATCAGTGTGGACACAACAATCATCTCCCTGGGGACTACACAACACAAGCTGCCTGTTAGGCGCTAGAAGGTTAACAACAACATTGCCTTCTCATCCTACCGGGTACCCATTCACTGTTGGGTGAACAGAGCACATTTCGAGTCACTTGCCCAAGGAGACACAACATGTGTTACATGTGCTACAGTGTATGACAGGACCGAAGCCCTTGAGACTCCCAGGAGCCATGCTGCCTAAACGCGGTCACCCATCCAAGGACTCTCCGGGACCAATGCTGCTTAACTTCACGTGATTGGTGTGCACAGGGCCCTCTGCATAGGACCACGTGCCAATGTAAAAGTAAAAGAATGAACAATATTGCTTTTGGGGAATATTAACGATAAAAACATTTCTGTTCAATGTCGTTCATTTTATTTACATATCTCACCTTGTGTACAGTCAAACTGTATCCAGCCAGCTCGACACCCAGTGTCACATGACCCACTGCGGCGATCTCATGACGAAGTATCACTGGTACACTTCCGGTTGGAGCAGGATTTCTGGCAGTTTGTACCATATTACCCAAAAGAGCAACCTTCAAAATTCGAACCTTTCAAACCGTTTTTAAAAGTAAGCATAGTATGTTTTGTCATCTGTTGATATACATATTGTAGGCATGCTATCTGTGTTAAGCTATCATATGTAGGGGTAGACAAAGTACTTGATTTAGTCTACCATTGGTTGTACTCTTATTTTGTGGAAGCCTCGGTGTCTAAATTGGTTAGATGGCTGACTTTGCGTGCTGGCGATTTGGTGCCTTCGAATTCAGGACAAAATTGGAATTTGTACTTTGCTAGGGGAAGTGTTATCCCAAATATAACATTTGTTACATTTGACGACTTTCTAAATGGCATTGTGTGTTCAGCATGCACTGAGAGTTAGGACCTGACATTTGGACCCCTCTGTTAATAATTAAAAACAGACACAAAAGTAAGAGCCATCACGTTCCTAGTAAATCACCGTTAGAGTCATATGTGTGCTACTTGAACATACATTACAATTCGGCCAAAACAGCCGTGACAATTTACATTTGTCAGAAGGGTACACAAAGTATGTAATCTTGACTACCAGTTGTCGGACTTCCATTTTTGTGGAAGCCTCGGTAGCTAGGTGGGTTACATCGCTGGATTTCAGTTGTATTTGACAAATATATCTAATGAAAAGTGAGAAAAAACAAAAGAGTGAGATATTGCTCTTGAGTTAATAAGCGGTCATTTACCTGTGTTCTGCAGACCATAAACACAAGGTCGGCCTGTCTTAATTAGTGTTCGGTTGCTGGACCTTTATGGCATGAACCATTCCACGAGGGTCCAGTCCAGCCATTGTGGCTAGCCGACAGCAGAACAGTCGTGAATTTAGATGCTAGGAGAACCCCCGAGTTGACACTACTGTCGCGGGTTGGTAAATGTCGCCATTAATGAAGTGATTGTTTGTTGATTGTGGACATATTCGTTTTAAAGGGACACTGATCTAAAGCTGGTTGTTTCATTTGTTATTGTTGTTTTCCCCGTGAGTACCCGTATGATACAGCAGAAATCTAGACTAGTTGGCGACCTGTGCTGCGCCATTCGTAAGCGCATTTGTCACTTTTATTGATAGTTTTAGGGCGTATTATCACATTGATAAACAAACTGAAATACAGTTTTGGAAATAATAAGGAAATGTAGGATCTCTGTGGGTAGCATCGGTAATAGTGACGAAGTTTTGACAAATCACTGGCTTGGAAATTGTGTAATATTCGTTTACACTATTGCAACACTAAGTAAATATTTCACCTTTTATCGTGTTCATATTTTTACAAATTTATTATATACAGTTATTTCATAAATTGACTGAAAAATAGGTCCATCGGTATTGTTATGACAACGAATTTCAAACATTTCTTTATGTTTCAAGAGAGTGCGAATGTTAGGAAAGTACATTTCTATATTGTTTGGCTTCTAATCCAAGCATAACTTATCTATTCTGGTGCTCTAAAGCCCTCACTTCAAACTTGGATTTAGATTAAATAATTACCCCAGGCACAAGAAATGCCAAATTGGATCCTTCACCACGAATTATACCTGTAATAAATTCATTAACTGAATGATCAAGTGAATGATGACAAATACTCAAGTGTAGAGTATACCAGAAAACGTGGATGACAACAAGAGTAATCTATTATCCACGCAAACCGAAATCCGAAAATACTTTCACTGCAGGGATACTTTTTTATATATTATTAAACTATAACCTTCAGGGGTATTTCCAAATGACGACATCCGATGAGCTTCCGCCGTTCTTTTTGTCTGTCTGTGTAGGTTGAAGTAATTAATTTACATGCGCCCTTTGTCGAAATCTTTATAGATCACGGGTAACCAATTAGCCAAGCTAACATGAAAATGTTGTAAAAAGATCCCTAAAACATTTTACGAAACGTTCCGGAAATATTTTCTTCACGTGATTTTGTATGGTTTTAGAAGCATTTTCTGGAAAGATTTGGTAAAATCGTTTCAAAAAATTTTTGGTGTGTAAAATATTGCAGAAATGCTTTTGAAAACGTTTTATTCATGTTATTTTGTATGGTTTCAGAAACGTTTTAAAAACATTTTCTGTGAACATTTGGTTATAACGTTTTCAAAATGTTTTGAAAACGAACCAGGGTGTTGGAAGAATCAGTGTTTTGCTGCCAATGTTCAAAACGTACACCACCCAGTCACTGTTAACAAGATACCTAATGATTAGCACAAATAGTCAGGGACTGTACATCCTTCAGGCATGTACTGCAGAAAACACGATACCAATGACCGACATGGTAATCCATGCCATGTCTTCAATATTCAGTCAACAAAGCACTTCAAAACTTAGTCCTGTGGAGATTTTAATATTTTTAGAAAACTTTTACAACATTCCAAATTATTGATTGAATACATCCAACTGAAGTGACAATATTCCATTCAAGATGACGTTTTATCAGTATTCTAACAACAACAAAAAATAATTTGTAGGTACTTTATCTAGTAGCTCATGGCATTTAACAACAGTTTCTGCACTTACGTTTGCATCATTCACAACCCCTGGTGTATTTGATATATTCCTCAATACACCTACAATTTCCTTGTGTATCTCCTGGAATGCTGTTGTCTCATTTTGCCCCTTGCTGCAGCGAAAACAAAAATGTTCCATATTATAACAAAGTTACAACTTGAACTATATTCAAAAAGCATTATATTGTTAATCCAAAGATGAAATATATTATATGATTCCATAACATTATTTTAATTCTGGAAACCCATTTGTCCAAAAACGCTCCATGCTGCAGCCAGTCTCGGTCAAAAGTATTTCCAAAATTCAACATTGCTGCTTTCATTGGTACATACAAAAGAATAATTTTTTTTATAAAAATGATGTTTCGAAATCTCAAAATTTAAACTATGTCGCCCATCCACACAAAACTGAAACCAAAATGTTTTCAAGAAAAATTAACCCAACCCATTAAAATGAAAGGTACTCCGATAACAGAGGTCTCATCGCACAACTGTAAACTCCTTGGGCTAACTTTACAGCAAGATGGCAACTGGTCAAATCATACAGATAATATAGTAGATAAAGTAAGCCCAATGGTCAACTGCTTTTGAACTTTCAAATACTGCCTGTCCAGAAGAAAACGTTACAGAATATATATTTATCATTTAGTTTACCAATATTCGACTATTGTGACCAGGTATGGGACAACTGTTCTCAAGAACAAGCGTTGTATTGGAAAGGCTAAATTTAGACGCACTGGGAACAATCTGTGGAGCTACTCGTGATACCAACCACGAATCTCTATACTCCGAAACTAACCTTAAACCCTTATCCAAAATGACGGCAATCTCAT